AAGTTTACAACAAAACCATGACTATAACAGTATTATGTCACATGTACAGTACTGGAGAATCAATGATGGCAAAACATTTATAGAATAGAATAGAATTATTTTTTAATACCATAAAGATAATGTGACATTTCTTTTTTGTTAATAAAGTTTTTACATATATATATATAGTTGTGTGATCATAAAGCTATCTGTAAATAGTAAAGGTAAGACAATTTACAATATGTAAGAATATGGCATATGTAGTTTATAATGTATTCCTAATGTTGTAACACTGTTCAATGTACTTTATGGTTTCTTTGATAAGTGAAGCGTTCTTATTACTCATTATTTGTATGAATTTAGCATTTCCACTAAAACTAAATCAAATTCAAATGCATCAAGTCATTTTACTTCCCAGATGTCTTCACAAATAATATTAACCCAGAAGTCCCAGATACAAATTTAACACATGTATAATCACAATACAGGTGGGGATATCATTGCACTGGGTTCAGACAACAATTGCAGACAATAGTCAGGTAGCAAGAATGTACCATTGTAATGGCATGCTTTCATTCTCTAGCATTGGATATCTGCCAAAAATAACTTAACTCTGGCTGGAGACATTCAACATTGACACGTCAAGGCAAACTGCACAACAATGCCGAATTGACACACTTGTACAGAAATTGAAAGCAAGAAAAAATGACTTTCTTCATTCTGAAATACGCTTGATCACAAAACATTTATTATAATCTTATGACTCTTATGACGGTACCATTGTACTATTACCCCAGACTCATTTATAAAACTCACACTTATAACTTCAATTTATTGCGATACTTATTGGGGCAGGTATGTAGTACATGTTATTACACGTACTACAACTGTCCTTACAATAGGACATAGACCTGAATGCCTCCAAACAACTCCTATTCTTTAGGGGTTTAGTGATCCATTTATAAGTAATTTACACACATTATTACTTAGTTCAATATAAAATCCAGAATTACATACATTTTCATGTTGCTTCCAAGTAGAAGTTGAGTCTTTGGTTAAAAATAGAAAAAAAAGTAAATGCATCCTTTTTGCTGATGGAAAGTAATTCTGTGTGAGATATGATTGCATTGTTTTCTTTAAGAGAGAAAAGTATGTTTATTAATTTGTTACTTTGTCATAACTTCATTGATGTTCTAAGGTGGGAATACACATTACTAGTACAGGTGTGTAAAAAAATGAATATTTGATTAACTGCGAGTAATAAACTTGAAACGTGATTCGTTAACAGGGTTTTAATGTGTATACTAGTATGTTTCTAATAGAGCTACTAGTGTTCAACTGTCGTAGTAGGCAGGTATACTACTACTAGAAGATCACATAGGTTATCTCAATGTTGACATATAGCTTGATAACACCAGACCTAGGATATCATACACATAAATCAACTAATGGGGATCTATAAAAGGGACAAACCAGAACACTCAGAATACTACAGTGGTGTCCATGCACCCCAGATGCCTAAAACCTAAATTATGACAATTTTAACATGCTTGGCCACAGAAATACCAAACTTGAACTTTAAAAAAACAATAGTGAACATTTAAATGTTAATTATTCCTATTGTAACAGAATGCATATGCAAAGTATATTGTTTTATTATGTAAATTAGCCACCATGCTTGGCTAATTTAATTAGCAAACACTAGCTGCTACAGTTAAAAAAAAAGTATTGTGTCTAAATCCTTTACCATGCCAAATAATCTAATTAAAATATAAGAGATATTGTATTTACTTTGTCAGAAGCATTCATATTTACAATGCAAGTTCGGTATACGAAAATAATTCTGCCAAAAAAATGTTTGGCTTTTATTAGATGCACTTTGACTAACAAAAATTCCACAGATATACTTGCCAAAAAAGAATTAATTAATCTTCACCATAATAGTGTTCACGCTACACGTAGTACAGGCTAAAGTTAAAGCATATCTGTTATGTTTGCATATCGGATATCTGCAATTGCATTCACGCACGGGATAAGGAACGCCCAATTTTGTTCCCAATCAGTCATTTTGACCTTTGATTACTCAGTACAGTAATAAGGAAGATATACGTGTTAGTTCTATGATAATAAAACAATACTAAAGTAAATTCAGAAGTGCAGATTACAGAATAACAGGAGGTAGCACAGAGTCTCATCGTCAGTTCATTTTATTTCCGGACAATATCTCTATGTGCGTTCGCGTTGATTGTCATGTCAGAAATGGCATACTGAAATGTAAGCTTATGAATATAATAGTATATCTTTAAAATGAACATTGAATACAATGGCATTTGGGACGCTTGCCCGAACTATGCGTTCACACACACACACACACACACTTGTTAGTCCGTGCTAAGAATCTGGACCAGGTCTTAAAAACAGGCCAGATTTAATCTGTACTTACTAGCATTTCTTAGCCTGTGCTAAGCGTTCACGTTTTCTTAGCAAGGGCTAAGGTTTTTGACCTCTTAGCCCGTGCTAAGCAGTTTTGCGTGAACGCTACTATTTTTTGAACTAATTTGACAACAAAACAGGTAAGTCTATTGTAGTGACAGCGGATTAAATGCAGCCACACCCCCTCTCTGCGATTGTGTATGCTTATATGATTATAAGTGAATCAACATAATTTTGTATTTTACTATTATACATACCTTAACATTATAACATAAAATATAAAGACAAACAAAAATGAAAAAATGACTTTATAATATGATTATACAGCAGTGAGTGAAATAAAGTGAATGCATTACAATGTTGATCAGAAAAATCTTCTGACACTAATGGCACATCACAGCTATAAAAGCTTCACTCCTAATGTCAATACTATGACATCTGAAAAGGTCAAAAAAGCTGAGTAACAGGGCATGCACATGCTGCAAAGCTACATTGAATCACATACGCGTGCCTCAGTTCCCTATATTATAAAATCGATTTTTTGAGTATGTTCCCGCATTGACAATGCTCCGAAATTTTAACATTATCTAGCCAAGACTGTCTGTGTAAGAAAAAGCACAAAAAAAAAAAAATTCACCCTGAGTGCCCACGAACCTGCATCTATACCTTAAGGCAGATTTGAATTGGTATTTTCATGGAAGTATAAACCAGTTTATAGTTCCATGGTATTTTCAATGTTACAGTCCTAGCTAACAATGTGTAGGAGTAGTAACTTGCCAGACATATGGCCACAAAATATTTTGTTTGTTGATATCTGTGCACCAATCTTAAATGCAATAATATAGGTGTTGGGTTTCCTTTTCAGGATGTCTTGATCTTGTAGCCTTGCTACCAATGTGGAAAGTTGATAGCCCTAATACTATACTTCACAGTCTTCACTACAATGGTATAGTGTAATATTTTGTGTTTTGCAGTCGTTTGATACATGAAGCTTTGTTCAAAAGTACTAATATGCAAATAACTTTGTACTTATTTTGTTGTAAGACATCTACTGTATACTTTAAACCTTTTAATTTTGTGAGAGTGTGAGTCACAATATTTTCACACACAAAAAACATTTTTTGTAAATGAACTTAAAAATCAAAATTATGAAAATTTGATTTGGTACATTCAAATATTAAATTTATATATAAAATAAAATATTGTTTGAATTTTGACAAATTTTTTGGAGGTCAAAATGATCTACAATCATGACTGGAGGCATGTTACATGTATTTAAAGTGATATTATTATTTTTTATAATAATGTGAACAGTAAATACTGTAGCCAAGTATTTTTCTCATTGATGGAATAATAAATTCAAATTTAATTACTCAACAGGAACTAACTGATTATCTGGAAACATGTGTACCATTCAATTAAAATATGTAGTAAAACAAAAACAAGCAATTTACTTGATAATTTGCTGAATTGATATACCATGTATTTGTTTTGTTTAAATATTATTAATTAATTCATGTAATATTTCAGTGATATGATATGATATATATTTCTGCACGTAAGTGTAGTGGCTATTTTAAAACTGGTAGACACGCCGGCAGTTTAACGTAACACTAGTTGATTTTCACACCTCAAGGTGCTAACGTATGCTTTTTAAAATACTAGCTACCATGGTGACTACGTTTAGTTTTCCCATTGAAATGTTCTGGGAATATTGGTAGATTTGCGCCCAACTAGAACATCCAAATAACGCGATATTATTACTAAAATTGGGCTTGCACACAATTTATGTGTATAACAATGTTAGCTACTGGTTGTATAGAAGCGTTCATAGCTTTGTATAGGATGAGGAAAAGCATCAATAATACTACTATTTGTACCTACCTTCGGTTCGAATTATGCGTTGATTTGAGTAAAAACAAATCGGCAATTCAGTCGTTGTTACCTAGCTAAATAAATGGGCGACGCCCAAGACGACATTACTCAGTTTACACTATTTCACGCGAGCACTAAACCAGCTGGACCATTTCCGTAATACTCGCAGTGTTGGCTCGGTGCTTGGCAGAGATGGTGTGCTATTTTTATCCCTCGATTACTTCACAACGCTCCTCTCTTTTTGGCTGCAACCCGAAAAAAAACTATTTTTTGCAATGAATGTCGTATATCCCTGGAAGAACCATACGCGAGACACGTGAGTAACAAAGGATAACTGGAAACTGTAAAATAATATCCAACGCCAGTGTTCTCATACAACAACAGTGCAAACGATCACATTATAATGTGACTCAAATTCACTTTCACCTTTGATTGACAGGAACCCCGCCTACGAGTGACGAGCGCCCTCTTTCGAACGCTTACATTGCAACTTTTTTCTTAGTATTCATGAAAACATTGATGGTAATACAATAAAAAAAAAAAAATAAGTCACTGAGTAATTTCTCCAAAATACCCCATACATATAACACGCTCAAGAATCGAAGTTGACAAAGAATATTTTACTTTAGTGTAAAACGAATGAATAAAGCGATACAGCCTTTTGAGGGCGTATACACTTCCAAATATCATGTGACCTCAAATACTGTTCCAACATGGCGGATGAACCACCACCCCTCTTCCCTGAAGACGAGAAAATCGAAACACAAGAAGAGTCTGATGATATTTTTCAGGTTAGTCCGATGGTTTGTGTTCTGTGTTTATCTATAGTTATATAAATGGTTCATTTGGCGATTGAATCGTAGTGAAAACCTGACCGAGTTACTCACTTTTTGCAGACAACAGAACGATTTTTGGGGCGTAACGTTATAATATAAACGTACACATTCAGTATTACTCACAGACTCTGTGGTGATCGTTGTAATATCAGTTCTATAATTCACTTATATGTAAATGTTCTATGTAGATGTAATGAACAATTGTATTTTTTGATCAATATACCAATTACCATATCAATTATAATATGCAATATCCTAGACGTGGCTGTTAGTAACAGCATGTATTGTCAATGTGTTATGTTCTTCACTTTTTGAAATCGCTGATAATCGCAACAAAAACTGATTTGTGTATTCACTACTTCATTATAATATGTCACTTAGAGTGGATTACCCTCTTCCCGGAGAACATTGTCCATGGTATTTTAGCTATTAAGTTGTCTGTTGCCCCTCCCCCAGTTTAATTTTTAAAAGTTTAATACTTGCTGCTAAGAAAATGGCTATTTCATTCTTACAGGAAGTACAGGAAGAAGCAACACAGGAAGAAAAAGGCAGTGATGAACATGAAGATCTGTTTGCAGGTTTGTTTAAAGGCCTTCGCAAGACACCTTGGGCTTTAAAAAATCCTATTATCTGTATTGTGTCTACTTCGGATTTGTCTTTTGTTTTTTATTAAAATCAACATCCTTTAAGTCAATTTAACATTGAAAATGAAATGGGACTTTGAGAAATTAGTGAAATGTCAATAATTTAATTTGCAATTTTGCTAGCTAACAACCGCAACAGGATAAAATAAAGTTGAGAGATAATCATAATTATCACAGTAATAGAGTTGTAGCATTTGTTTACTCCACCGGAAATAAGATATCAAATGCAGCATTGCCATAATTACAGTCAGCCAGTGATAGTTCCTTCTGTGTACAAATATAAAAAGGAAGTGGTTGAAACTACATGTACCTTGCTGATTTTAAAACTCCCTCTTGTATTCCTTACCCTAAATCTAACCCCATTTCTCAATTGTATATGCCCCTCCTAAGGACACCTGGAGGGGGGCATAGACAATTAAATTAGGATTGGGGCTGAAAGAGCAGGTTAAAATTAGTGGTCAAGTTAGGTGCGAGGGTTTACAAAAGGAACTTCTTCCCTTTGTCTTTTATTACTGAAATTGTACTTTTCTGGCCAAAATAAAAATTAAAAAAATCACCAGCTTCTGATTTTTGAAAAAAAAATACACTGCCACTGCCACAGTGCACTGTCCAAAATTTAATACTGGTATATACAATTATGCTATATTCTATAATAGGTGTAGGAGAGGAGGTTTCTCTAGACGATACACCAGCAGAACAAGAACCTGAGCCAGAGCCAGAGCCACAGCCTGAACCACAACTAGAACCATCCAATATCGCCCCGGAAGCAATACATCCACCAACGGCAGTTTCAGTGTCACCAGTAGCTGCGATAAAAACAAAGGATGAGGTAGGATGAATCAATATTTCACTCTCTAAATATTAGTGTTTGGTTTCATTCAAATACTGCTGTAACCAGTATACCAAATATAATTTTTTAAAGTGACAGTAAATTGTACATTTTTGTATATACCGGTAACGATGTTATTATTTGAGATTGTCAGATATACTGTGAACCATTATATTTTCGTTTTGAGAAATGTTCGCTATTTCACAATACATTTCACTTTGACTCGGTCTTCATGATTCAGCTTTGCATTTGATTGAGTGTTCAAATTTATTTTCCTTATAATTTCAACTAGAGTTCCAATGCACATTGAGTTTTGATTTGATTCTGAATTAGTGTGGACTGCAATAATTTGAATCATACCAAATTCTAGTCTATTCCTGGCAATGTCACATAATACTGTAGAATACTTTATTTTTGCTTGGAATTTATTTTCGCTGAAGGGATGATTCCGTGAAAATAAAATCCAGCGAATATACTTTTTTTCCTATATTTCACATTAAACTCATCAGAAATCAGTGAAAATAAATTCCATAAAAAGTGCCCAAAAAGCCTTTTCAGTGAAAATTAATTCCAGCGAAAATAAAGTATTCCACAGTAGTCCAAAAGACCCTAATAAAGAAATGCTCTCAGATTAACGTAATTATACATTGTCAGGGAATTTTTTAAACAAGGGAACAGGGGCACAGCTCCCTCATGCCATGGCTATGCGCCCCTTACCCTGGGGAGCAGATGCTTTGGCAACCATAACCATTTTAACTTAGAATTATCAAAAACTCCACACCCTGGTAGGGAGAACCCTACCCCCCTCCCCACTTGGTGGCCTCGCTGAATTGCAGTTCCCCCTCTTGCATTTTTTTCTAGAAAAAACTCTGTATATATTGTTATGCAAATTAGTTATTTCTATGGAGCTGATGCGTCAATTAATACCAATGATAAACATTTTGTGGCTTTCCACAATAATGAATTCCTGAAGGCATGTATTGATTTTAAAGCCTCCAACTGACACCTCTCTCATTTAGATTTCAATTCCTCTTCCACTCGAAGAATCCATTTATTAATAGTTGTAATAATATTACTACATTATTCATTTATCCTTTTAAGATTAAAGAAGAAGAAGGCGGAGACAAGTATGAAATTGAAATCACTGTTACAGATCCCCAGAAAAAAGGTAGGATTTGGTTTATTTGTAAAATAATGTACTGACATATCATGAGACAACACTAAATAGAAAATGTATGCATTTCTTGTTTTTTTAAGCAGAAGTTATTTTGTTTATTAATTTCAGGCGAGGGAATGAAAGCATACATGGCATATAAAGTTGCTACCCGGGTGAGTACTTATCGGCTCAATGCTGAGATACAGCGCCCTCACTCCTGTGGTGGTCATAATCATAAAATCCTGTTTCAGATTGAGGTTTGTGCAAGGAATCATGTCAAATCTGAATCACAGTTAACATTTCGATGGATTTTTACAAACAAAATAAGTTTTAATGATGAAAATTTGTTTGGTGCACAAAAACCTTGGCATATATGTTCTCACATAACTCAAGTGAAGAGCACGCCGTTTCCCTACTTAAAAATAGCAGCGACAACCTTGATTGAAATAATTTTCTTATCGACGAGCTGTGTGAATGCCTAGCCTCCAAGCAGAGTGTTAACTACTATACCGTTAACTATCAGTAGTAATAGTAAATACACTGATATTGTATATTGTTTTAAATGGGAACACAATTGTGAACTACCTTCCTAATTACACCAAACTATTTAATATTTTTACAGACAAGCATGGCATTGTTCAAGAAACCAGAATTCTATGTGTGGAGAAGATTTAGTGACTTTCTGGGTTTGCATGAAAAGTTGGTACAGAAACATGCCCACCAAGGGCATATAGTGCCTCCTGCACCTGAGAAAAGTCTAGTTGGTAAGTTTTATTCATATGTGTATGTGTTTATCAGTAGAGCATCATGAATGTGATTTGTGGTTGTTTCTCAATTGAATACTGAATGGAATTCATAAACTGAGAAACACAAATATGAATTGTTTACACTTTTGCCAGGTCAAGTTCACGAGCCAACATTGTGATATTTGTTCCAGCCTAAACTACCATATTCAACAACTTAACGCCCAGTGACCTCAACTCAGAAAATCATGGTTTTTATATTTGTTTTTTTTTCTTCAAGTTTTCTGCAATTTCCGTTAATTCTTTGAATGTTTTGATCAAATCAAAAGGTTTTGAACTTTTTCATCCAAAATATTGATAAAGATAAAACATGTATATAAAACTATTAATAATAGGGTCAAATTTGTCAATGTCACTGAATGAGTCAAAAATCAAAGCTGACAATGAAAAGGTCAAGGGTCAAAGTTGACAGTGACAGTGGGAGGTCATAGGTCAAAGTTAACAGTGACAATGATTTGGTTAATGTCGACTGCAAAGATCTTTGTGAAATCATATGTTCCTAAATGAAACAATTCAAATATTACTTATAATTTGGATGATGAACTTATTTTGGTATTTTGTAAATAGGTATGACACAAGTGAAAGTCTCCAAAGATGAGAGTGGGAACACAGAATTTGTTGAGAGAAGACGAGCGTCTTTAGAACGATACTTAAATCGCACTGCTGCTCATAAGCTACTACGACAGGATCCTGATTTCAGGGATTTTCTTGAGCGTGATGAGGTAATGACTTCAACTTAAAATATTGAGAAATAGTGAAACAAATTTGCCTATACAGTACATTATTTGCTTGCACGTTATTCAACATAACATTGTTTGATGCTGTGTCTTTTTTTAGCTACCACGTGCTACAGGTACCTCTGCTGTCAGTGGTGCTGGTGTCATGAGATTGTTTAACAAAGTGTCGGATACAGTATCAAAAATTACATCCAAAATGAATGAATCAGATCAGGTAGGACACGTCATCTTCTGTCCATGTTTATCCCATGTATCATGTCAATATCATGGAGATACAGCCATGTGCTAATTTCGCTTACCATGTGCTTAAGGTGCATAGCTCCACAGTGTGATAGTCACATCACAAATTTTGACATTTTTACATACATTAAATTGTTTTCTTTGCATGAAAATTGACCTAGATTGATTGATTGAAGAAGCTCATTTCGGACTGTTATTCAGTTGCTCTAAAAAAACCGATCAGAATCACCACATAGCATACACAAGGTGTTGCGAGCATTGTTAGAATACAAGGCACGCCCAGTGATATACTCGTATTTGGTATAAGTTCAGCAATAGTTCCACTTTCAGTACTTCCAGTTCCCTTTTTTTCATTACAAATTTACAAAATAGTATGCTCTTTCCTTGGTTGGGACAAAAATAGGCCAATTTTTTTGAGTAAAAACTGAAAATTGAATCAAATTGTGTCTGTTAGATCCAAAGTTAGGGTTCAATTCCAGAAATATTGATGAATATAAAGAAAAAAGTTCAGAAAAATTTGGGCGAGAAAGTTTGGTGACGAAGTTTTTTGTATAGGCGGGAAGTATCCATGTGATAAATAGTATATTTAAAAATCTCTATGAATCCTAGTCGTATGAATATTTCTTGCAAACAGTTGTGCTTTTAACTTCATCAACGATTTCCAAAGACAAAATGTAACTTGTTTGGTTATTTGATGCTAAAATACATTAGTTATGTTATATAAAAGCTGTGAAAGATGTACATAAAATAAATAGAATATCAAACATGCAACATAAGGCCAAAAAGAAAAATTGTTTTGTTGCCCTCAGCGACTGACCGAAAAATATGAAATATCAGGTCGTGTTTTTTTTCCCCATATACCTCGGCTATTTACGATACCCTTAGTTTTCACGAATTTAAAAAAAAAAAAAAATCCGACCGGCCGACCCAATTTTTCAATTTTCCGATTTGAGGGCAACATAAGTTGTTGTTTTTTTTGGCCTAATATATCTGTATTATTATTTCCTCCACAGTGGTTTGAAGACAAGAGTCAACAGATTGACAGCCTTGACCAACAGCTAAAGAAATTGCATTCTAGTGTTGAAGCATTGGTAAATCATAGGAAAGGTATGACAATTGAATATTAAATAATAATTTTGTCTTTAAGATATTGACTTAAGTACCATACGTGTATGTGTGGAGGATTTACTGTGATTGAATAAACTCAAGGCAAAAATGAAACGAGGCACAAAGATTATATGTATTCAATTACTTTGTTTATATAAGGACTTTAAAGAGATCTAATTAAACATTATATGTCAGCTTCATCTCACTTTCATTATTATGCCATAATGACATTATACCAAAAAAGTAAAAATGAATTGGGGTCACCAAATTTTTTTTTGAGAAATAAGTGTGGCAAATGTATTGAAAAATGGTCAAAATTTGTGGTATCTATGGAGAAATTATTTCTTCATATTTTGCTCAGTGACATAGCATGAAAAATCCTATATTATTATAATTATTGATATGAATCCTAATATTGTTAAAGGAATTTTAAAATTGAGATTTAATATTTAGTGAATTTCAAGTGTGATAAAAGTTTTCCGTTATACAATGGATAGTTCTCTCCCACAATGCATTGCATATATGTGCAGTAACATGCTCAGTAGTGTAAAATTTGAATTCCTCTTGAACTGCCTTAACAGTAGTAATATTACAGAACGCATAATAGTAATGGTATTACGTCTTTTCTACGGTAGATCTTAGTACTGCTACTGCAACTTTTGCAAAGAGTGCTGCAACACTCGGCAATGCTGAAGAACATACAGGCCTGTCACGTGCACTGGCTCAGCTGGCTGAAGTGGAAGAGAAGATTGAACAGCTCCATCAAGATCAGGCCAATACAGACTTCTTTGTTTTATCAGAGTTACTAAAAGATTATATAG